AAAAAATGCAAAAATTTTAAATTTTACTTAAAATATCATCGTTGTAATACGATTTACCAGTTTGAAACACTAATATTTGAGTTCAGCGAAGGCTCCTGAGTAAAACAATACCCCCTATGTACAGGTTTTATGGTGTTTTGGAGAGTTACAGGGTCAAATATAGTGCTTGCGAATTAAATTCTCTGCACTTTCTCCCTGTGTTGTCAGGCATGTCAATCAAATTTTAATTAATCAAATCACATAATTATGTTAAAAAGATTACTTAAATATACATGTAGAATTTTAATATATATGCATTTATAGGTATTTAAATTCTACGTGTATACTAATGTAATCTTTTATGTAATTATATGTATTTATCTATATATATATATTTGCGGTTATTTGTATTTTATATATAGATAGATATATATATATATAGAATGTCATTCTAAGTGTATTTTGTTACCAATATATATATATATATATTAATAACAAAATACAGTTAGAATGAAATTACATATGAATATATAATTTATATAAAATTTTGTTTCAATATTTTATTTATTTCTTTTATTATTTCTTTTATTTACTTATTGTAATTATACGTATATATATATAATATATGTGTATATATCTATTACATATATATATATAATATATATATATATATAATATATATATGTAACGTCATTCTAAGTGTATTTTAATACTAATATATATACTTATATTAATATTAAAATACACTTTGTATGAAGTTACATATATATAATATGTATATATATTATATATGAATAATATATATACATATGTTATATATATGAATACATTTCTATTTAAATTTTACACATGTCTAATATATTTTTTTATACTTCCCACCAGCAGGGGGACTGTCTGACATTTTAGACAGTCCCCCTGCTAGCAGATCCACAGCCAGCTATAGGGGGCCATGTGATCGCTCTTTGAGAGCAATCACATGGCCCCCAGGGGCCTCTTTTGCTGTGGGAGGGCTGCCTGGGCTGTCAGGCAGTCCTCCCGAAGCAGAGCGCCGGGAAGGTGAGTATACCGGGCGCTCCAGGGGCTTCAGCCGTTACAGCGTTAAGGGGTTAAGTATAACTTAAAAGCTAGATACTAATAAGTAATAATTAAGCCCTTTTGCTTAGGTTGTCTCCAGCATCATTTACTATGTGTTATTATAAACATTATTGTATTGTACTTGTTCTGTATAAATTTGATGACTTTCAAATGTTGGCTCTACATATTTCTCTGATGGAGGATTACTTCACTCAACGTAAACAGGCTACACTCCCGATAAGAGATGGATGCCCTTGAGAGAATTAAAATGCCAAAACACTGACATTGCTTTCATTCAGGAGACCCTGATCACATTCAAGCTGTGTTGATATATTTTTAGTGTGTTATTCATATGGATTTGTCATCTGACAAAACCACATAAAGTAGTTCTGAAGGCACATGTACATCTGTATAACATTGCTTTGGTAAAGCTCATGTTAAAATGGCCAACCTAATTAAGAGGAGCTGTCTCACCCTTTGTTGAAAAACAATGTTAAAATGTTACAAGTAAACATAAGCTAGCCAACACTACAATTAACTTATTTTTAGAATGTCTAATTCATTTAACTTTGTAGATTAAGTAATTTACAAAATAGCAGAAAATGACTGTATTTATAAAAGGTACAATATAGTGATTAATGAGGTGGAAAAAGATTCTTGGTTTTTTGATGACAGATTAAAACACCTATTGTGAAAACAGATAATAATGTTAAGACTTATCTGATGAAAACATGGTGGAAAGAAGTAAAATGATAATTGACAAAGTTTTTCTTTATATCTTGTATTTTTTTTATATTGGGTAATTGTTATTTTCAAGAATAATGAAAACAATTCAATGTGATCAGTTACTGCTTCTGCAGCATCTGCTAATAGTGATCCTGTTAATGAAGTCCTATTGAGGTTTTATATGAATCACAATGCGACTATGCAGTTGAGCCCTACATCATGTTGTGAAACAAGTGTTTCAGTTGCTAATGGTGATTCTGGCTTGATGAATAATGAAAAACATGTAGTAGCATTGATAGTCATTCTATGTAAGAATGATAAGGATCAACAAGGGGAACCTACAGTTAAACAAATGTGCATGGCTCACCTAGAAATCAAAAGATAAACTACATGCGTTCATCAAAAAAATAAATAAAACTAAAGCAGAAACCTTAAAATGAAATAACAAACCATAATTACAAAGTAACAGAGACTTTTCTCATAGTATATGAGATATGTCAACATTTCAGTCCTACAATTTGATAAAAGCCCAAATTGTAATAGAAACATAGAAACATAGAATGTGATGGCAGATAAGAACCATTCGGCCCATCTAGTCTGCCCAATTTTCTAAATACTTTCATTAGTCCCTAGCCTTATCTTATAGTTAGGATAGCCTTATGCCTATCCCACGCATGCTTAAACTCCTTTACTGTGTTAACAAAATAATCTTATTTCAAGGTATTGCTTTTTTGAGTTTAAGCTGGATTTGACCCCTCAACTAACTGTTTTCTGGTCCCATTTCTGTTCTGTGTTTTGAAGGAGCCTTTCAGATTGAGCTATTGGCAAACTGTCCCAACTAATTCACTTGTCTATATAGAGTAAATACATTTAATCTATAACTACAAGTCTAGTGAATGGCCTCCTTTTATGCAATGTGTGTGTGTGTGTATGTATATATATATTGCAGAAACCAAACAGGTTATGGTGGGGAAAACATTTGGATTGAAAACCCCTTCCACCTGAAGTCTGTGGATAGTTAATACAATTTTAAACAAAAATCTGCACACCAGTCAAGCCATAAGACTTGCTTTTCCAACAGAAATCACCAATCTGCAGTGATGTTACTACCGCAAAGGATTCTGTGTGCGCATATACAAATTAGTTAAACAAAGATTCACATTTTTGCCACATTCAATTTTAAACATGAATTCCTTTGAGTCTGTGTTTGCTGGATACAACAGCTTTGAAACACAACTTAGGAAAAGATGCAAAGCCACTCATGGACAGCTGTTTCATTGTTAATGCAAATCATCAGCATGAGGTTGGTTACTGGTTTGCTTACTGACTTATCCTACTTTGTCACAGCTTATCTGTTTTTTCTGAAAGACATTTCTACCAGATGTGTACAATGGAGCAGTGGTGGGGTCAGTGGTGGGGTCTGTCCAAAGGCTTGCTGTCCCTCAGTCCTAGCAGTTTATTCCACTAACTGTGCTAGTTCACGGGTCCCTGCTTCTCTCTTCTTGCTTTGCTGCCAGCATGCTACCTGCCACAGAACCAAAGAAACAAAAACTACTGGTATAAGGGAGGATTGAGCAGGTAAAAGACTCACATAGGGTTTAACAGTAGCAGAAGGAGAGGGAGCTAAGTAACATGTAAGGAGGTAAGAGGGATGAAAAGACACACAAATAGGTAAGAGAAGGTTAAGGCAAGTAAAGGGGTGGAGGGTAAGAGGGTAAAAAAGCAAGAGTTTAAGAGACAAACATGGTGTTAAAGAGGTAAAGAGACACATACTGAGTCAAGGGGGATTGAGAGACACAAGGAGATAAGGAGGGTTAAGAGACACAAGGGGGGTCAGGTTATGCTCCCAAGGCCGTAAGAGTGGTGAGAATAGGCACAAAGAAGGTAAAGTAAGACAAAAAAATACAGGGTGAGTGTGTACCAAGCAGTGGCAACAGGTGAAGTTTTCAGATGATGGACTGTCAGACTCCTCCCCTAGTATTTGACCCCACCATTTAACTCTCAAGCAATCATCTTCTGACCCGTGGCATCTATCCACCTAACCTTACGTACTCAACACGTAATTGTAACAGGTACAGTGTTACCCATACAATACTCAGAGCTAGTTATAATATTTAAATATCCATACAATATTCAGAGCTAGTTATAATATTTAAATATCCGTACAATACTCAAAGCTAGGAAAAATACAGATATGCGTATACAATAAACAGAACTGAGTACAATACAAAGATACCCATACAATTCAAAGAACTCAGTACTACAAGAAGATAACTCAGTACTATAAGAAGATTAAACACAAAGAGCTGGGTACTACTGGGATACCCATAATACAAGCAGAGCTGAGAAAATACTGAGATAACACACAGAGCTGAACACAATAATTAGATAACATAACTACCCCACACAGTCAGAGTCACTGTGATGGATTACACAGAGGTGCAATACAGAAATCCCCATATAGTGCAATGTCTCTTTATAATGATGCTGACCCTACTGCCCACAAAGGGAGTCCCCTGGAATTCTTCCTTAAAGGAGACTAGGCATGTTAGAAACCTGCTGAAATAGAACAGATTTGAAATCTGTCATATTTTCTAATATCCCTAGTTGCTCTCAAGAAAGTTTCTTTACACACCTATCAACAAGGGGGGAGGGACACAAAGTGACATAGATTGCTTTCCTTATTCTGACACACACATAGGCAAAGGCTGTAGTATGTTTTTTTTTTGTTTTTATAATTCTTTATTTTTGTAGTGCATATGGTATCAAACAAACTCATGTAGACATTTCAGGACAATATTCAAACAAACCATACATATTATTGTAGGCTTCACATGGAATGTCAGAGAAAGACTGCACTCTTTTTTTTTAAGTAAGTAGAAAAAAAAGAAAAACAACAAGAGCACTCTTCCAGGAGGTGAAAGAACTAGTGGGTAACATGAGTTATAGAACACAGCTGAGGAGAGTAGTGACAATAAATTACCACTGGGTAGGTAGGGCAGTCTAATATAGATGCATAGTGCACTGATGACAGGTCAAAAAATCTGAAATCTTGCTGGCCCCTTAGCCAATACTGAGAGATAGTGAGGCATGGGGATGACACTATTATCAGCAGCTCCCAAGAGACTCCTCCAATCGAACCAGGGTGTCAGGCAGTCCGGTTTGCTTCCATCCAGGTGAGCACCTGAAGCTCGATGTCACAGCTCCTCGGCAGTGCGTACCCTGTGAGCAGGTGTGCCGACGAGTGGATTATGCATGCTGTGCTGGGAGTGGAAAGGTTTGTTGCTCCACCATGGGAACGAGTCATGGCAAACATGTAGGCTACAACCATGATTGTAAGATAGCTTCCGCACCATCTGTCTGCGCTGTCTTTTTCACAGTGTCCCTCTGGGGAGATGCTGGTAGCGTTGCGGTAAGTGGCAATGATCAGAAGCATGGTTCCGGGGGGTCTCAACTCAACCAGCAGGATGGGGTAGAGGTATCCTGTCTTGAAGCTTCGCCCAGAACAGTACGCAAGAGCGATCAAATGCCATGAGGAACTGTTCCACGTGTAAAAGAGAGCATAGTAGGTTATCTATAACAGCTGGTCTCAGCAGGATTGCCTGTTAGTTTCTAGGCCTCTGGCTTTCAGATCCCCAGGTAGCTTGAGGTTGCATCTTGCTGACCACTGTGATACACCAGTGGGGACCAGGATATCCCCCACTGGTCCAAAGGGGGGGGGCGCGGAGCTCAGGATTAGTAGACACCAAATCGAGACTGTGGATCGGCCACCTTCGCGCCCTCAATTGTAGTTGTAGACTGCAGAGGAGTCTCACATGGGTTGTGTCTGCAGGAGACAAGCTAAAGTGACACAGATAGGTAGCAGTGTGATTCCCGGTAATAAGAGCAGGATTCTAGCCAAAAATAGAGCAAGATTGCCCAGTTTAAAGGCGTTTTAAGTGGCTTTTCCAGAGGAGCTGCAGCACCACGTGGCTGACTCAGTCTATAGTCAGGGCCCGCCCCCGGCTGGAGTATATTAATCTACATATTCCCTGTTTTTTAGATGACTCCTCTTCCCCCAGAAAAATAACCTAATGCAAATACATTTTCTCACTTGACTATTGGTGGGGCACTGCCCCTATAGATGAGCATCTACTGGTGCCAACACACAATTTAAGCCCAGCTGCCAAATAACCAGATTTGCTCCTGATATGTACTTCACAAAAGCAGCATATACAATACAAGCAGCTCTAGTAGGACATGGATGGGGAAAACTATATAATATATGCAGTTACACGCATCAAGGTGAAATGCATCTATAGAATACCTAAAGTCATACAATTTAGACACCTACATGGTCTATAATCCATAAAGACCACAGTTTGAAATAACAAGGACATTTCATCTTTTAAGTAAAAACAGTTATTTTGAAAAAAATCTCATACTTGCTATTTTTTTTTTAACTTTGTCTATCTTGGACTAAGCTTCTGTACAATTTCCTCTAAATTCTACATTTGGTGAATTTTAACCTTTAAGAGTTAGTTAATGGGTGCATGCTCTGTAAAAGACAAGTATAGACTGACTAAAAAGTGAGCTGTACTTAGTGTTCATAGGCTTGTTCTATGACATCATAAAGACAGTGTGACATCACTGAAGATGTTTGTGGCTAATGGAACACCCCCGATGTCAGCCAGGCACACACAGTGAATATATTAACTGGATTATTCACTAAAGAGTGGCATTAAAGTATTTAAGTTAAAAATGAATCTCATCTCTTCCATTCCAATTTTTATATTATAATCCATTCCCTTTTTATTTGTTTTAATGCACATAAGAATAAACCTTCTTTCTTGCGGGCTTTCTAAAAGTATTGTGAAACACTATGGGCTTTTACTCGTGTTTTGATATTTGTAAATGTTCCAAACTCTGACAATGGAGGCATCTAATAGTCTGTCCAATGTGCAAACGACCACATGGACAATACATATATATATATATATATATGTATATATATATATATATATATATATATATATATATATATATATATATATATATATATATATTACACCTTTAGGAAAACATGTTAATAGATCTCAGATTTTTTTGTTAATATGTTCTTTCAAATATAAACAAAAATAAACAAAAGCTTCATCACAAAAATGTTTTTACTTCAATTAAAAAAGTTAGTTGGCTTTATCCTATTAAAATAGTTTTGTACTAAAAAGTTTCCATACTTTTAGAGCCTCTATAAACTATCTTTAGTATTGGATCTTTGGATATTCCTCTAACCATTCCTTAACATTTTTTGCAATGTAACAGGGTGCATTGTCCTGCTAGAATGTGCCACTGCTATTAGGGAACACTATTGCCAAGAAGGAGTATAAGTGGTCTGCAACAATCTCTAGGTAGGTGGTATATGTCAAAATAACATCCACATGAATTCCAGGACCCAAGGTTTCTCAGCAGAACTTTTCTCAGAGGATAACACTGTCTCTGTCAGCCTGCTTCCCGTAGCGCATCCTGCTGCCATCTCTTCCCCAAATAAATGGAGCGTACACGCACCCGGATATGCACCTGATCTAAAAGAAAATGTGATTCATCAGAACAGGCAACCTTCTTCTATTGCTCCATGGTCCATTTCTGAAGCTCATGTCCCCATTGAAGGCACTTTCAGAGGTGGACAGGGGTCATCATGGGCACTCTTACCATTCAGTGGCTACGCAGCACAATGATATCTGACATCTTTCTATAATGACATCATTATGTGATGGAACCAGAAGGGATATGCTTCGCTCCACACGTGACCCTGAACTGGTTCACCAGTTGTCTTTCCTTATACCACTTCTTGTAGGTTCTAACCACTGCATACCAGGATCATCCCACAACACTTTTTGTTTTGAAGATGATCTGACATAGTTGTCTAGCAATCACTATTTGGTTCTTGTTAAAGTTACTCAGATCTTTTAATTTGCCCATATCTCCTGCTTCCAACACAGGAAATTGAACAACTGACTGTTCACTTGCTGCCTAATATATCCCACCACTTGACAGGTGCCACTGTTACAAAATAATCAATGCTATTCACTTCACCTGTCAGTTGTTTTTATGTTGCGGATCATTAGTGTAAGGAGTTAAGGAGATAATATCAAGGTGATGCTTTATAAAAAATACTTTTTCACTTTTATATTATGCAATCAAATTATAAGCAAATGTGTCTTTGAAAAGTGATTGCACTAGACCAGGGCTGCCCAACAGGTAGAGTGTCAGATGTTGTAGAACTACAACTCCCATGATGCTTTGCATGCCTTTAGAATGCATTTAGAATGACCAAACATCATGGGAGTTGTAGTTCTACAACATCTGGGGATCTACCTGTTGGGCAGCCCTGCACTAGACATTTTAGGGTTTATTCATAAAGCAGTGCATTCTAGTTATCTGAAATTTGAATAGCAACTGTTAGGCTTGACATATTAACTGTCTTGTGCCTAGATGACATCAGTAATGTTCCATTATTTACATATATCTTCAGTGATGTCATGATAATACGCCTGTAAATACCCAGCACAATTAGGTCTTAGCTATTCTATAATTTACAGATCAATAACACACGCAATGCAAAAATTCTAAATAAAGGGGGGCTAAACTCTTAGTGCTGGAGATTGATCACATGTGGAATTTTGAAAAGGTAACTCCTAAATTTAAATAAATGTCCAAAACAGACAATTTTTTAAATTGGAGGTGTCCCTAGGGGGTAATGTAAATACTCTGAAAAGGCAGTGTTTGCATGAAAATGCCTGAAGGGAATGGTTATACTCACCAGAACAAGAACAATAAGCTGTAGTTGTTCTGGTGACTATAGTGTCCATTTAAATGACCCCTATTACTGATAATGCTTCCTTTATTTCAAATCCCTTCCATTGTAGTGGTTTTGACTGGCTGAGTCTTGCTGTTACCTCTGTAAACTAAGTTGGAATAAGCTGATAGGACACAGTGTTTTTTTCTTACATTAAAGGATGGCCATTGATGCTACAGAATGTGTATGTTGGAAAGCTTTGTTCTTGTCAGGGTGGCAGTTCATGGGGAGTGGATGATCAATTGTCCACTGACCTTTTCCTTTATTATTTTGATAAATCATCTTTTTCAACTTAAAATGACTCCTGCTATGAAACCTACAAGATCGCTGCGTACGCGGACGATGTACTTCTCACAATCACGGACCCGCTAAACTCCCTCCCACACCTGTTTAGGGAATTAACGAAATACACAAACATCTCCGGGTACAAATTAAACATGGAGAAAACGGAAGCCCTCCCGATCCGAATAGAACAACCCACCCTCCGCACACTTCGAGCACGCCACCTGTTCACATACCAACCAACTGCCATCAAATACCTGGGAACCATCCTCCCAGCGGATCTCACACAAACTTACAGCCTAAACTACACGCCCCTACTAGAAACTGCCGCACGAGACCTAAACAAATGGAAGGATCTGTCAATCTCATGGATAGGCAGAATGACCTCCATAAAAATGAATCTTCTCCCAAGATTTTTATACCTCTTCCAAACCCTCCCAATCCCGATCACTATCTCCGACTTCAAAAAATTGCAAACCAAAATAGACAAATTTATATGGGCCGGAAAAAGAGCTAGGATCGCCCGACGAACACTATACATACCAAACAGACAGGGAGGACTAGGACTCCCTAATATCACCCAATACTTTCACGCGGCACACATAGCGCAAACAATTCAACTCCATGCAGCTCCCGGCCTTAAACGATGGGTCGACCTGGAACATAACATATTCGGATACGATTTCCCCTCCCTATACGTTTGGCTACCAAAAGAAGCCAGACCATCAGCCCCCTATACCTCCCCAGCAATCCTTACAACGATCAGAATATGGGACAAAATAGTGGCTAAAAATGAGCTTATCTCCCACCCCTCACCACTGATGCCCATTCTCCGGAACACAAAATTCACACCGGGCATGTCCCAGAGGGACTTTACTCACTTCGAGGACAATGACCTAATACGCATTCACCAATTCTACCAGAACCAACGCATCATACCCTTCACAGACCTCCCCCAACAGACCCCTCTCACCACACGAGACTTCTTTCGGTACCTACAAATTCGCAGCTTTATCGACAAACCTGCCATACAAAAAGCAAGCATCACTCCCCTCACCCCGCTAGAAAAGGCATGTAACAACCACCCACTCCACAAAGGACAGATATCCTCTATATATTCCCTACTAAGCAGGGGCATACGGGAAGGCTCAATGCCTTATATGGCAGCCTGGGAGAGGGACCTAGGCCCCATAGGGGACCAAAGCAATTGGGCAAACATATGGGAGGCCACAGCAACAATATCGATATGTGTCAATCACAAAGAACAAGCGTATAAAACTCTCTTACGATGGTACCTCACTCCACTACGTTTGAAACAAATGAGACAAACCGACAACGACCTCTGCTGGAAGGGGTGCGGGAACAGGGGAACCTTCATACACACGTGGTGGGAGTGCCCTCGGGTAGCCACGGTGTGGCAACATATAGCGCAATTAGCATCACAGGCACTACACACCACTATCCCGATGGACCCATGGCTATGGCTCCTTTCCAGGCCCCTCAGAGACACCCCAAGGGCACACAATAAATTGATAGCCAAACTGGCACTAGCCACTAGGCGAGCAATCGCGGAGAAATGGGGAAGCCCAGACACCCCACCCATAGCTCTCATACAACAAAAAATTAACGAAACCATGAAAATGGATAAACTTACCGCCTTGGTACATGATACCACTAGACACTTTGACAAAATATGGGAACCATGGATCTTCGAATTCCCAACACTATAAGGCACTTACCGCCAAGGGATGCACCAGGCGGGGGGTGGTCCCTGGGGAGGAATAACCTCGAAGACCGCCCCGGGCACCACACTTCGCCAACTAGGCTACTTCTTTCCCGGAACCCTTATACCCACAGCAAGAGACACCCAAACCGCTCACCCCAACCACACTAGACAAACACAGTCACACCACTCTACATAAGATCCACCACACACAACCCTCCCTCCCCATCGCACCAAACCGACTGATCCCCATGAACCGCCTCAACTCCGCCAGCACCAGACCATGGACACTAACCACACAAGAATATACGAAACAATCAATCAGCGCGAACAGGAGCTCAACCCGGAGCACCACCAACACAGACCACCATCCAGTCGGGGGCCCTAAACGCACCTACCACAAGCACCACACCACACGAGAAAGACAAGTGGGAACCACTTCCAGACCACCCCCGACAGAAATCACAACCCCGGATACAAAGAGCAAATAACCAATTACGACATAACCAACAGAGGCCACCCACCACACACCACACACAGAACAGGGAACATCTACCATGACCCTGACCAACACACTCTACCCTAGATGTCAGCCCAATTAGAATCAAACAAAAAACCCACGGGAAGGCCCGCAATCGACTTCAGACCAGCAGGGCCCACTCACTAGGGACCCACAAACTAACAGAGGCCACACCAAAAACAAGACATCAGGGAACAACAGGCCTACACACTAGGCAAACAGTCTAAAACCCCCACCAGACCCACTCCCCCTCCTCCCCCCATGTTAACCCTCACTCCCTCCGAAGGGAACCTCATAAACACACCGACCAAACACTGAACCAAACGGCACACTACGCACACAACTATGTAACTTTCGAACCAAAAATGTACGTGTTATAACTGTTGAAATATCAAATACTGCAATACAATGTTATACCTATCTACAAACCAGCTTCAGAACCCTCTCTCGGACTCGAGACCGAAGTCTTACAGCAACAGCGAAGGACAGCACCAGTCACGGAACTAAAACTCTATAACTGCCTTTCCTTTATGACTGTTTTGTAACACATCAATGCAACTCACGGTCTCTATGAAAGTATGCTTGATCCCAAGTTTTCTTTTCTGTACCCTAACCCCCATATGACTGAAAATCCAAAATAAAGAATTTATAAAAAAAAAAAAATGACTCCTGCTATTTATTTTTCATAATACAAGATATAATAAGGAAAAATATGTAATAAATCATCTCATTCATACTTTACATTATCTGTACCTAGATTACATCAGTGGTGTTCCATTAGCCCCACATGTCTACAGTGATGTCATGCTGTTCTTATGATGTCACTGACCAAGCCTAGCACAGCTTAGGTCTAAGACTCCATACTTGATTTTACAGAGCAAAAACGCATACTTGCAGAATCCAAAGTGATTCAGGGATAAACTGTTAATGTTGAAGATTCACTAGCTGTGGAATTTTGGGTAATCAAAATAGGAATCTTAAACCTATGTCCAAAATAGACATAGTAAAAAGTAGCAAATTAGTAGAATTTTGCTAAAATGTGAAAGTTCCTGCTTACTTAAACTAATATTCTTTTTGATCATTAGGGTATAAAAAGATGCCTTATTTCGGTTGTTTTAAATACTATGTTACTGGACTTTTTTTGTATTTTTTTGCCTGCCTATCAGTGTCTTTTTTCAGGTTAGGCTTCTGCTAAACTGTCACAGTCTCTTTCTGTCAGTATGCTGATCTTTTTGATTTATTTTTATAAAGAGCTTTGTAGCGTATAAAAGACTAAACTTACAACATTTATGTCAAAGTGCTCACATTTGGAAACTATCACCAATTTAACAACATTGAACTTTTGGAAAGTTTAGCCTAAATATTATTTGTATTTCACATAACTAAAATGTGCTGTTGTGCTATCAGTTTCCAGTATACATTTCCTTAAAAATTGATAAATTGGGAAAAAAATATTTTGTGTAAAGCATCACTTCGCTCTAAAACATTATCTCCTTAATACCTTATATATTAACTAGATGTGTCTGGATGACAGCGGATATCCAATAGCCATACATATGTAAAGTGATGTATTTTTGATGTCACGGAGGCAGCCTTTAAATATGTGTTATCAATCTTTAAAAGTCAGTATAGAATGGCTGACGTGAGCTGTGCTTGCTATTTATAGACTTGGTAAGTGACATCATAAGAACAGTTACATAGTTACAAGGGCTGAAAAATGACACAAGACCATCAAGTTCAGTCTTTCTCACATCAGTTTTTGCTGTTGATCCAAAAGAAGGTAAACAACTGTTTGAAAAATCCTTCCAGAACCCAAGAAGTGTGACATCACTGAAGATATGTGCGGCTAATGGAGCCCCACTGATATAAGATGTTAAGGAGATATTTTTTTTAAAGTTTATGTTTTATACTGAATATTTTTTGTATATTTTAATTATTAACACAGCATCCAGGCAAACATAAATAATGCATATTTTGACACCCATAGGTGTTCTGACCCAAAAGAACACTTCAGTCAGTTTGAACTTGAACATTTTTCACATTTTAAGCCAGTTGGCATTTTTTGGCATTTTACTATTTTGGTCATATATTTAAAATTCCTGTCTTGTGACTGTTCAACTTGTTTATACCCGAATTACTCTGAATTCTGTGTCTAAGTGTGTTTGCTCTGTAAACTCTTTAATGTGTATTTTTATGCATGGTTCATGACATCATAAGGACAGCATGACATCACCAAACATATGTGTGGCTAATGCATCATCACAATGTCATTCAGACACATCTAGCAAATCAAGCTAGATTTTAACACAAAATCAAATTTTAAACAAATGTATCTTTGAAAACTGATTGCCGTAGACATTTTAGGGTTTATTGATAAAAAAAAAAAAAGAATATTGTTGTGATCTGAAATGTGAATAGCAACATTTAGGGTAAACCTTACAAGGTTTCACTCTATCTGAATACTTTCAAATAGGCACTTTTTACCATTTTTTTTTTTTGTAATTTGGGTCTTGGTTTGCGTGAAAAAAAGAGACTGTAAAATTCTAATAGAAGTATAACCTGAAATAGAGGCATAGATACGTAAACACAATCTTAAGGAAAACATTTTTTAGAGACAGGTGATAATTCACAGACAATATTTTTTACCTTTATGATCAAATTTTAAGTATCCTTGAAAGGTAATTTTTCTAGACATTTTTGTATTTGTTAATGAAACAGGCTTGAATGATGAATGTGGCTAGAGTTGCATGTTGTGGCATCAAATATCATCCATGTGTCCTACACAGTACTTACACAGTATGACAATTCACAGATATCTGAGTATGTCTGAGAGATACAAACTCTGTCTCCCATGACTCTTTTGCCACTCATGACAACCACTGTATTTTCTAAATGTAAAGAGTTCTGTCTCATGCTGAGCTTACTTGCAAACAACTCCAATGACATTGTACATACTCATCATAGACTTGAAGCCTGCTCAATTCCAGATCCTGCAGTCCCCTGGGAAACATCATAGTGGGCCAATCCCAATTTGGAGATTTTGAAATTTAGCAGAGTTTTTTTTTAGCACAGCAACAGTTTGTAGAAGTCACAATGGGTCACGAATATGAAGTTAAGTAATAAATAATCTTTAGCCAGTGGTTTGCTCAAACAAGATTAGACTGATGTACTAAAAACAAACTTTGTTACATCACTTTTATTTTTAAATTCTAATTTTGTATTGACATTTTTTTTAAAAAATCCTTCCTTATTCCATTCCTTTTCCTTTTTCCCCCCCTTTTTTCCCTTTTCCTTTCCTTTTCCCTATTGTTTCCTTTCTATTTTCTAGGGCTATCTAGTTGGGACTTAAAATCACTCACACGGATCAAAACATAAAAGATTTAAATGGAGTAGGTGTTTTTGATAGGTGACGATTTTGATTATTGTCAGGGCAGCAGGAAGTATATATATATATATATATATATATATAACAGGTATTTATTATTTCTCTTTCTCTATACCCTTCTCTTTTCCTCATTTACTTCCTTTTTTTCTCTCCCCCTTTTTTTTTGGCCAAGCGGGCAAGGAAGGGATTTTCCAATTCCTAGCCCTAACTAGCTTGGTGAGATAGCAAACAACAAAGGATGGGGCTGTGCCACAATACAAAAAAGTAAATAAATAAAGTAGTAGCTCGGATAAATCAATGTGAGTACGGAGTCCAGAATTGTGGAACTGAAATCTGGTGCTGGTCTCCGAGGCCGAGGAGTTACGCTTCTTGCAGTTTTCAAATATATAGGAGAAGGCGATAAGAGGTGAGATGGAATAATGGTACAATATGTTCTAAGAAGTGCCAATATACAGGGAATGGTAAAATTCTTACTCACATTCAGTAGAGCTTAAGCCATCTCTGATGTGTATGGCTTACAGCGGTATAATCCCCGCTTATGGGATATGCAGTGAGTGTCCTCTTGTATATAGTAGTATCAGTGACCCAAGAAAGAGATAATAAAAATGGAAACAATAATGATGCAATATGTTCCACAGTGGGTGAAAAATTATAAAATATAGTAATAACACTCACATTTGGTAGAGCTTATAACAGCTCTGGTGTGATAAGCATACAGCGGTACAATCCCCGCCTTTGTGATATATGATGAATGTTCTTAAAGATGGTAATATCAGGAGCGAGAAAGGAAGACAATAAAAATAGCAATAGTGCTCTCAATAAAATTTTAATGGTATATAAAATAGAATAAAGCATACTCACAAAGTATAGAGCAGGCTGACTGCACAGCATAGGTGGTATGATCCCCACCTGGGATTCTTTGGAGTAATGAAGGAAAGTAGTAAATGCCAGGTTGTAGTAAAGAATAAAAAATAAAAGTTCAAATAAAAGATGATGGTACAAAAAAAGTGAAAGGACCAAAATCTGTTTATTAACAATTAAAAAAAATCAGTATAATACATCCAAATGCGTTTCACCATATAGGCTTTATCAATGGAGTAAAAAAAATAAACTAACTAAATAACTAGCTTGGTGGACATGAAAATATAAATTATTAATATTTTACATTCCTGTCTACAGTTTGGAAAATCAATATGAAATAAAAATGTTTTAAAGTGTTTTTTTAATCTCTGTTAATCCCTCGCATTACCACCACATATGATATAATGTGCCTTCTGAATTTGAGCATCTCCATCAATTCTCAGAATAATTGTGTTTGAATTTTCTAATTCGGTCTGGAGTAAGATAACAGCGGTGAATAATTAAAAAAAAGTCTTGTGTAGGCTAAGATTATGAGTATATTTTCTAACTTGACATAGTGCCTTGCCCCATTTTTCAAATGAAAGGGATTTGTTGATATCCCTTTCCCATTTTATTATTTATTAGGGTTTCTCTTATATCATACGGTGTCACGACAGTGACCAAATAGTCAAGAGAAATAGCCAGAGGTCAAGGGAATACGGAAGACGGGCACACGATAATCCAAG